CCATTTTAAAATGGCATCGAACTCAGTATGGTTGAAGATTCTGGCAGGTGCAGAAAACAAGAAAACCACCCAAAAGGCAGCAAGACATCTAAACAGCCCAGTGTAACGTGCAGCCCCGCTGTTGCCAGGCATGGTGGGAGCATTACGGTGGACTGGCTGATGACAGCCTGACCCTGTTCTGGGCAGGGTTAGATGACACAATGGGATAAAACCGGCGGCCACTCTACAGCAGCGCTTCCAATATTTCCAGCACAAATGGAGCCATGACATTGCTACTGCAACCACAGGCTCTTCAGCACAGATGCAGCCCTAAAGCGTAAGATGCTTCCGCTCAGAGAAAACACAGCATTACCTACATCTAAATCTGCTGCCAAAGGCGGCAACAAACAAGCTAGCAATGTTCTCTGCTTACTGTGGACAAACAGACTGTTTGAAATCATGGACAGTACAAGTGAAATCAAGGAAGGAATGTTACCAACAAAACAGCTGATTTCACACAATCACTGAGCAGACTCCAGAGGTTACCAGTGGCTCAGGCTATGTTAGAGCAAAGTGCTAACTGGTTCTTGGAAGGAGCAGGCCAGTGATGCTGTAATTGTGCTGGCTAATTGGCTGAGGTGCCAGTCACAGAGGAGCCAAAGGACCCCGTCTCTCCAAACCCTGTGACCCTAACATCACCCCAGTGACAGATGGAAAGGGGCTCACTGGTATCTGGTAATGAGTTTCAGCTGGCCTGATCAGGTGAATGTACCCCAATTCACTAATGTCATAACCTCTGTGTGTCATGTAAGATATCAATAGAAAGAGTATCATACTGATAATTGGCAACAGAGAGTCCTGTGGCACCTTTAAGACTAACAGATGTATTGGAGCATAAGCTTTCGTGGGTGAATACCCACTTCGTCAGACACGTGTGCCTGACGAAGTGGGTATTTACCCACGAAAGCTTATGCTCCAATACATCTGTTAGTCTTAAAGGTGCCACAGGACTCTCTGTTGCTTTTTACAGATCCAGACTAACACGGCTACCCCTCTGATACTTGATACTGATAATTAATATTATTGCGGGTACGTACCGAGGACAAAACAAATTCAAAATTACAAACCGTGTGTGCCAGGCAGGGCTAACATTACCCCATCCTAAACGAAGGTAGTGCCACCTAAAAGGTACTTCCAAGATACATTTAGAGACAATAGCACTGCAATTTATATAGAAGGTAAACAGGATCATCAAGCCAACAAGGGGAGGGGATAACTACTCAGCATCATGGTAGGGGGAGGAAATTGATCTGTTCCTGCAATCTGCATTTTAGCAAACATGAGCAGGGGAAGAAACCAGCATGAAAATTCCTTATCACCTTCCTCACGGCTTGAATGAACTTTACTTTGGGGGGGTAACCTTCAGAAGAATCCATTTCAAAGGTTTACTGGACTATAAAGAACCCCAAGTGATCTTTCACCTAAGACGACAGAGAGACTGAACACTTTGGACTTTGTGGGAGATGCTGACCAGAGGAGTTGAGGTCTTTAAACCATGATTTGAGGACTTCAATAACTCAGGCATAGGTTAGGGGTTTGTTACAGGAGTGGGTGGGTGAGATTCTGTGGCCTGCGTTGTGCAGGAGGTCAGACTAGATGATCATAATGGTCCCTTCTGATCTTAAAGAATAATACTCTGCCCATCTCTAGTGCCTCCTTCCAGGCTACAAACAATTAAATTTATTCCCTCAGAACCCCGTTGGCAGGTAGGCAAGTTAGTTCATTTTGCAGGTGAAGTGATTTGCCCAAGGTGAGCCAGTGACTGAGCCAGCAATAAAGTCCACGAGGCCATGCTGCCATCCCACAAAAGGCAGAGGGGACAGCAGGAAGCATTTTTCACGCTCTCCTCTCTTCTCGAAGTGCCAGATCTGTGGTACCCTGAGAGCTGGCATTGCAAGATGGGGCCGCCACATGAACAAGAGGAGATTTCACGGGCTCAGGCTCTCAACACAGCCATTATTTCAAGTTTATTGATGAACTGTGCCTGCCCCGGGTGCTTGTGTACATGAAAGTATGAGAGAATTTCTAACTGGACTCTTATAATCAACCTGTCCACCTGACAGGGACCTGCAAATAGACAGATTGAACCACTGGTGAGAGGATGCGATTCCCAGAACCCTCCTCAATTGCCTCCTTTCCCACGCACAGAGACATATATATCTATGGTGAGCTTTCTCCTGCACTCACCACCTCAGCATTCTTTTCCAATGCTCCCCACTGAGCCAGCTTAGCATGTCTGACTTCTCCAGTATGTCCAGTCTCTAGCGCCCAAGGCTCTAGTGAAGAGAATCTCTTCCCAGACTGGTTAGGGGCTGGTCACAAACCAGCCCCTGTGTCTGGAGACTGAAGAGCTGTTTAAAAATGGAAACAAAATCAAGCCCTCAGCTGGAACAGTAGCAGGGGAGAGGAGGGTTGGAGAAATGCCCTGGTTTCATGGAGAAACAAGGATAAGTGACACCCAAACCAGCCCCATAGCCCCAGTCGCTACGTTGAGGTGCTGAGGGTCCCACAGCCTGCACATCCAACAACCTTCACTTTTCTGTGTATCAATAGTTTTCCCTCCACTTGCTTTTCTCAGGCAGCACGCCAGGTACAGCGAAGGGAAAAGGATTATCCTTCCCATGAGTCTGGCATCTGCCCAGCCCATGTAGCTTCCAGCATGGTTCACATGCCCTCAACTGCACTAAGCCTCCCAAGAGGTTAATTCTGATCCCACTGAGACAGGTCGCCTGGAAGCCACTCTCAGATCAGGAGGGCATTCCCCACTTAATTGATTCTGAACTGAAATGTCAGGACCAGAGTAGTGCAAATCTGTATCTCACACACTGACTGCTGGCTACAGTAGCAGGAACAGTTTAGGGGCACAGGCCACAGAACAGGCAGTTAGCTCAGCTGCAGAATAAACAGGTGTCACAATAAAATGCCCCCCCCCCCCCCAATGCGGTCCCCTAGTTCACACAGCCTGTTCCCGTAGCCCAGACTTCATCATGAACATAAATGCACTCAGAATCACCTCCTCTGAATCACACTGCCACTTTCCTTATAGAAGCTAGACTCAAGTCTGAGTTCCCAAACTACAAGCTGGGAACAGGTAAGCTGGCCCTGACACTAGAGGTACTTGGAAGAGCTCTGAGGCATGTTCTTCATCATGGGGGAACTGCACCTTGGAAGCTTCCATCCCTGGCTTTGTCGCACACTCCAACACATCCCCCCCTTATCTGGGAAGTGGTAGAGATGTTCTTGAGCAGTTCAGCTGGGCTCTCACTGAGGAGTTAATACAACCACAGCCCCTGCGCAACCCAAACTAAGGCAGATACACAAGCACACTCTTGGAGCTGTGATTATACAATGGCAGAAGAGGGTTTGCAGTGTCCGGCCCTGGCAACAGGATGACATCAGAAAGTATAATCAGCTTTTGAAGACAGGAGTAAGAGGGAGCCTAGCCAGACTCGGACAGGGGAGGGAAGAGTGAAAAATCTTTGCACTGTCCAGTCTCCCATTCTGGGAAGGGAGCAGGGAGATGTCTGCAGAAGCAGCACCATGAGGAACTTATTTACCAGGAACAATGTTCTAGAGAAAGCTTCTTTCTGAACTTTGAAGCAGAGGCCATAGCTATTGCTCAGAGCTGACAAGCGAGGGCCAGGAAGAGGGGAAATGCTATGCTCAACTAGGGAGAGTAACCTTCAATGGAAACGAGAACCTTATAACCATCAAGGCCTGGATCCTGGTTCCACCTCAGCAAGGCCTCACTGCAGAGGATAACTCCGAGGCTGGAGATGCCTTTTTGCAGACAGATGCTGGAATATCGACATCGCAAGCGGTTCATGGGTCACCAGAACGCTGTGTGTATGAACTCCCTGCCATGCAGCTGGCAAACACAAGGTAGCTCTGTCAAAGAGAGGATACTGCCCAAGCTCCTACCTTCTCCAGTTCCTGAGGTGGCAGCACCTGGCTCCTGTACCTCCCTCTCTGTCTGAGTCTCTGCATTCTGCAGCAGAGGAGCCAGGGTCTGAGTACCCTGTGATGTCACCGAGGTGGTGGGGTTCCTGGGCTGCAGGCCTATGGCATTCATTAGGCCCATGTCTCTGTCCGTCCTCCATGTGGCTCTGCTTGTTCTGAATAGAGAGACAAACAAATAAACCAGGAGCAATGTGGGGCCTGACAGCTCAGCCTCCCATGTCCCTAGGAACACAACAGCACCCAGCTCACTCTCCTCTCTCCATCCCAGCCAGGCACCTGGTAGTCTAATCTAACTGCTTTGCAGGCAGTGAGGAATGGCACTTACATCATGCTATGAATGCCATCTCCCTCCTTGGTTTGCAGCTCACAGGACTTTCTGCTCGATGTTTAAATCACACTGGGGCCTTGTCATAGGGTCCTTTACCTAATGTTACCTCCCCTAGGCTGCATGGCTGTTTGAGAGGCATGAACATACCAGCAATGCCACCAAGACTGTATAGCAAACTTTAGGCCTTCGGAGTTTCTAGATTGGCAGGAATTGCAATAAGCAGCTCAGGAACATACATTTATGGAACCCTTCCCTGGCTCAGGAGATGGGTCTGGGTTCCAGAGCGATTTGGCAAAAGCAGGGTTTCTGCTCCAGAGTGTATGATCTGCATCGCTTCCCTCACCTTATCCTCTTGGTTTGTCAGCATCACACACTAGCTCCCCTCTAGCATGTGTTTCAGCCTGTGCTGTGCGGGCCAGCCAATTCGCCTCTCTCCAGTGCAAATTCCACTAGGACTGGACACGAGACTTATTGTTTTATTTTCAGAAACAAGTAGTTGATATGTAGGAGCTTCCCAGGTGAGAGTGTTTGCAATGAAAGGGGACTTTTCCCTGCACTGGCCTCTGGCTGCCTGTCCTGCAAGTGCTGAAGGGGCTGCAACAGATCACCTCATCACATGGCTCATATTCTTCTGTTTAATGCTCTGTAATCTTTTGATGTTCTGAACCCACCCAGCTCCCCAGCCCTCCAACAGGGATCAGAGGTTTCTCAAAGCTGTCCTCCTGCCTCTGGCGTCCACACCAGACGGAGAGAGAAAGGGGAAGTCTGGATTTTCCCACCATGCTGCTGCTCCCCAGCACATCACACTCCTGCAAGACTAAGACACAAGGAGAGAGATCTGATGACTAAGGAGGGGAAAGAGCTCCACCTAGTTGGAGAGGATGACACCCAACAGAAAAGGGAAAGCATCTCTCTTCTCCCACCCTGCAGTCTGACTGGGATCTTAGGACTGCTTGGGGGAGGGACAGGGGGAGCTTGGACAGAACCACACTCTGAGCTCCAATTTCCTTGGGATTCTGGAGTTCAGGTTCAGATGGATAGCCTGGGGAGGGAGTGCCCCTCACTGCGGCAGGAAGCTAGAGGGGACCCCATTCCCATGTTTAGGGTATTGTGTGCAACACTGGACAGAGGGGACTGGGATTCCTCATTGATCCTGGCTGTCTATGAAAAACCCTTTGGGATTTTGGGGGAATCTAGCTCTGCTTTTAGAATTTGTTATAAAGTAACAACTGTCCTGTGACCAAGAATTTAGGGATTAAAGTCATTAGCATTATCCTTCGATTCCTGGTCACTGGAGCTGTTTAATGGATTTGTCTTTGCCTGCAGCTGACCCATTATTCTCTGGGTACCTTCCCCGGTGCCATTTATTTTACACAGCACTTTTCATACTCTGAGCCACACATGGCGCCCCAGTAGGGTGACCAGACGTCCTGATAAAATCAGGACCGTCCCCATTTTTAGCTGTTTGTCCCGCATCCCGACCAATCTCTGGTCGGGACGCAATTTGTCCCGATATTTCGCTCTGCCGGCGGTTTATTTTATTATTTTTTTGCTCCGCCGGCAGCACTAGGGGTTTGTTTGTTTTTTTGCCCCTCCGGTGTCCCGATATTTTCTTCCTCTGATCTGGTCACCCTACTCCCCAGCAGTTTGCTTAAGGGTGCTACTGATGGCAGGCAGGGCCAGAGGTGATAGATGTACTTCAGTATTGTGGTCTGCCCCTCTGGTGACCAAATATTATTGCTAGTGGTGTGCCAGCAGGCATTGGCTGGGCAAGCCAAGCGAGAAGTTGTGTACCTAATGATGCCAGTAGGATGGGAAACAGGAGGAAAGTATGGGCATGCAGCACTGTCAGCTGTATTAAACTCAACAAGAACCACCAAGACGGGGAGCACTCTGCTTAGCTGCCTCTAACCCTCTCCTCTCCCCCCAGACTCACCCAGGCCGCTCGGTGCTCCTGTTGCTGGAATGCACAGTGAAAACAGTCTCATTCAGCTGGTCCCAGTAGTACTCAACTCCAGAGTTTAAGGCCCTGAAATGCCAAAGGGGGAAAACATTAGAAGGGGAGATTGTTCCATGCAAGCCCCATACTGGCTGCACTGCATGACAATACTCCGCACTTGTCTAACCTGCCCACCCAGCTTGGCTGAGCAGGCATAACCGTCTGCAATAAGGGTGTCTACTCCTGATGCACAGAAGGTCTTCAGTGGACCCCCAGGACAGGCTCAGATCCTGCCCAATTTAAATGAACATTTCTAGGGCTTATTGTTGCACAGGCTCCCAATCATGGAGAGCTGTCTTAGAGCATCTCTGCACTCTGAGCTGAAGGTGTAATTTCAAGCTCAGGTAGATGTTCACACACTAATTTTGATTGAGCAAGTTCACTAAAAATAGTAGTGTAGGCATGGGCTAGCTGTCTGTATACAGTCCTGTCAGAGACCCTACATAAATATTCAGATGGCTAGCCCTCCACCTGGGCTGCCACGCCTACACTGCTACTTTTAGTGCACTAGCTCGACCTAAGCTAGCGCACATACATCTATCCAAGCTGGAAATTACACCTTCAGCTGCAGCATAGATGTATCCTGAGCCAGAGAGTAGTGAACTGCCCCTTTATTTCAGTGGTGTGTTAGTTCTGAAAGACCACGCCGCAGGCACGCAGCTGCACATGCATTTACCACAATTGTTTGTGTAAGTCAGGTAACTATACATCCAAGTGGGCAAGTACACAAAAGGCAGAAAAAACACTTGTCTAAAAGGCAAGGTGTCTGGCAGCATTTTACCCCACTGGGCATGCTAACAATTATTCAATACTAAACATCTAGGTACTAAACAAGGGTCTTTCCTTCTACTCGTAAATCTCAGTGCAAACATCTCACTGGCATTGGCAGGGCCTCTGTGGAATAAGGATGGATGTAGCTCAGGTTCTTAGACCACAAATGTAACTTGGCCCTACCCACAGAATAGGTTTGATACAGACCAGCCCTGGCCCAAGGGCACAGACTAGACAGGACCTAATAGGACTTTGTCAAGTCTAACTACTGTGAAGGGGCACAAGAAGATGCAGGGAGGGATGTGCATGTGTATCATCCACACTGCTCCACTAGTCACTTGGGGTCTGTAGCAGAGCAAGTGGGTCCTTCATCTGGAGCTTTGGCATGCAGTGTACAGCACTGGTGCCTTCCAGGGACTTCAGCAGTCACATTGCTTGGTTGCTGAAAGCCCGGTATGTCTAGGAAAGTCACAAAATGCTGCTATTGTTAGTCCAGTTAGCAGACTTAGGGAAGAGGCCTCAGGTGCTGCTCCTGTCCTGCAGACACTGGATACAAAGTGAGAAAAATATCTCAAAAGATATGAATGCACACGTGTTCCAGTCACCCTAGAATATGTGCTGGAGAAGCAGGGAGCAGCTGAGCCTCCCACATCCCATGAAGCACAGAGCCGGGAAATGCACAGTTCCCCAGAGCTCTGAGAGGCAGCCAAGCTCAGTCAGCAAGTTGCATGGGAGAGCGTGTGCAGCATGGTGAGCCGAGTAAGGGCAGAAGGGCTTCTTAAAGGAACAGGCAATGCAAATACAAAGATATAGTGACACATGAAGCAAAGGGCCAGGAGGTGCCAGGCTATCGTAAAACACATAGGAGATGATCATTGCACAGCAGGAGAATCCAGCTTGTTAACATTAGGGGTCTGAGGGAGAGAAAAGAAACAGGATTACATCTGCAGACCTGGGTTCACATCTAATATAGATCACATCAGAAATCGTCTCAATCTAGTCCAGAGTAGATGTTTGTCCAGGGCATGGGAAAGTCTAGTCAGGGAGAGACCCAGGATAAATGATATATAGCCAATTAGTTCTCAAGTGCAGTGACAGAGCGATTGTGACAGCAGTGCTCAGTACTGGATTAGTGAGGGGGGCTGTGGGTCAGGAGTGAGGTGCATTATCAGGATGGCTGCAGGGGAGGATTGAGAATTATTGGCAGAGCTGTGCGTGTTGGAGGACCAGGACCAGCAAAACATGAATGGCTCTAGTTCAGGAGCAAATGCAAAAGCCAAAGAGAAGAAAACATGCACAGAGTCTGCAGAACGTGATCTGTCATCACATTTTTCACTGAGCTAGTCCGACAGCATTATACCCATGTGAAAGCAGCTGCCAAGGAGACAACTATTTACAAACTCTTCAGAATTTATTGACAGATGGCCACCCATCACTAGAAACTCCCCAATCCTCCCCAATGCTCTGCCCGATACACTGAGACAGCAAAGCTTGACAACTAAGCCTACAAGGCAGCAGCATTCCCTGGGAATGAAAGCCGTTCAGATCTAGCAGTGAAATCCTCCCAAAAGCATCTTGCTGCTTTGGCATTTGAGACTACTGGCCATCAGAGCTGTGCTGAGCCCAAACTCCCACCCTGTCCTCTGAAGCTCCCTCTGCCCCCAAGAGCACACAGTCCCCACAGCAGCCCATGCTGCTGCTACTCTTCATTAGGGATGCATGCCAACTGCTGCTATCATCTTCAAACAACTGGAGATATAAGATTTCAGTGTTGTCCCAGTGCAGGTTCTGGGATGGTGAACTCCCCACATGCTCCACTCCCCACTTCAGCTGTTCAGTTTCCATGCTGCACAGGGAATATGGCTCCCTGCCTGCTCCCTTCTTGGGGAGGAGTCTAATCCAGCTCGCGGCTATCAAAGCAACAATATAGCCAGGTTGCCTGCCCTGCACATTTCAGAGAAAACAAGATTACAACTCTCACCCCCATTGCCACCCCTGCCCTTTAGCCGGAGCTCTTGCTGCTGCTCCCTCTTCCTGCTCCCCATTTGTTGGATGGGAAGGTCCATTCTAACTCCATGCTGTCGGCTTGCTCCTTTCCCTGGACAGGGAAATCAATAGCCATTTAATACATTACTTCATATGCAGGTCTTAAATGGTAGCATTTATCAACTAAGCTCCCGCTGCCATGCTCCTATTAACCACTCATTAACTGCCAGAGGGCTGCGGCCTTTTGCTTTCATTCCCCTGGGAGAGGAGCCTGTTGGAAGCATCAGCTGCTTACCCCCACCACTGGCTCTGGGAATCCTGACAGACAGGACAAAGCAGAGTCTGGTTGATTTCATTATCTGTGGAAGTAGGATGCCCTTTTCCCTCTTCACTCAGGACCTGCTCTGACCTGGTTGCTAGGTTTTCATTCAGAGCGCTCAACGGGAGGCCAGGAGACTGGCGAGTACCATCCACCCACTCTAAGCCAATGTGCCAAGCATCCTAACTGTCCTCCTTTTGCCCTCCCTGGGCTAGCTACTCCTCCTCACCCCAACTTTTTTAAAAGTGTCAGGGTGCTGGAGTCATCTGACACAATCTTTATTCCATCCTTCGCCATGCCCTTCCTTACCCTCTCTCTTTGCCTGTCGGAGACTGTACACACTCATCAGGGCAGGGACTGACTGCTCTCCCTCTAACATGCTATGTAAAGTGTGGTGCTAGATTATTGAAAAAACAACAAAATAATCCTCCAGCCTTTGTGGACTCAATTTCAAGCCCAAGTGGTCTCCAGATCTCAGACAGGGAAAGGCACACTGTGATCTTTGTGGGAACTTCAGATATCCTGGTTCAGGTACAGGAAAATGGCACAGATGTGGGCTACCATTCTCTGACACAAAAGGGCTGCCTGTCTTTCCCTTACCATTTTAGGCTATGTCTCACTGCACAGTTAACCCAGGTGATTAGCACCCAGATTAGCCTAGCCCAGGTGTAAGCATCTCCACAGTAAAGCCCTACCAGCGTTCATGTGTCCTCACTAGTTCTGCACTAGCTCATGCATGTCTAGGGGTATATCCCATGACTTTTTGAGGAGAGGCTCTAGGATTTTTTCCCAGAAAATTATGGAAGAACAGGTCTGTCCTTTGACGGGAATACAGGAAGGGCACTAGACGACTGTCAGCACTTGAGTGATTTAGCCACAAAGCAGGTGGGTTCAAGCCAGAGTTGAAGCAAAGCCTGGGTTTTAACTCCCATCCCAAGCGAGTAAGCTAGCCTAGGATGAAAGCATCTTTGGACCTGCATCAGAGGTTTTTCTGTGTGCATGGGTAGGGGGATGAGAGGAGGGTGTGGAGAGCTAAAAACCAGGTTAACCATGCAGTGTAGCCATACCCAAAGATGTAACCACAGAGATGCTGCTATACTGAGGGCTCCTATTAAGTCTTTGTCTACATGAAAAATTTGTACTGGTTAAATAAGGTGTGATTTTTAAACCAGTTTAGTCAAACTAGCGCAAGCCCCTGTGTGGGCATTTTGTTCGGTTTAAACCAAGTTTATTTTGTTTTTGCTTACGACAATTTAAGAATTGGTTTCAGATAAATCAGAATAAATCGGTCTTGAACCAACAGCAGATTGTCCACAGGGGTTTACACCGGTTTAACTAAATCAGTTTAAAAAAAACAGTGTAACTTTCTTGTGTAGATAAGGCCTAAAACTTCATTTCTACATCTTGTATTACAGAATATTGTTAACTTGAAACATTCAGTCAGTCTTTCACAATGGGTTTCCCAGTTCCAGTGAACGTCATCAAAGTCTGACTATTCAGTTGAGAGATGCAGAACTAGTAATGTACTGGAAGGAGGAATAGTGTTCAGGTAATGGGAACACTTAACTTTTGTCCTAGCAAGCTCTAGGCATAGAAATGCTGGAAACAACATCTTCTGAGGCTTGAGGTGGCATCTTTCGTCGGCATAGCACCGGATGTCTCTTGGATGCAGCTGCAGTAAGGAGGGCATTCACTGCCCAGGGCCTCAGAGTGAGAAATTGCAATTCTCCATGCTGCTGCTAAGTTCTTATTTTTCTTCCTTTTTATGGCTGTCAAACAAGATCCTTAAGCCCTCCCTGGAAATCCCCATCAGCTTTGCTGATTGCAGAGCTGGTCACAGACAGGCTGCCCCAACAGGGTATCTGCTCAATGAGGAGTTTATCCAGCTCAAACTACTGATGTGTTTGGAGAGTCTGAGGGGCACAGAGCCCCATGCTGTGTTATACAGTTGTAC